GCACAGGCTGAGACCAGCATGTGCTGGAGCTGCTGACAGCCCAGCCAGGGCCGGGGGGCAATCGGGGCAAACAGGGCTCTCACCAGCTGGGGCGTGGGTGGCAAGTGAACGCTCCCCCCTCACCCTTCCCACCCATTGGAGCCCCAACCTCCTCCGTGGCTGGAGCGCGAGCCATCCCCACACACCCCATGGCCGCAAGAGCCCCTGCCCAGGCGCCCCAAGTCACGGCCAGTCTGAGCACCAGACCCTGAACCCCTCATTTCTGGCCCCGCCCCAGCAGTCGCACCCCCAGCCGGCGCCCTCACTTCTCCTACCCCACCTCCTGCCTCCACCTGGAGCCCCCTCTTGCACTCCGAAACCCCCAGCTGCAGCCTGGAGCTCCCACCTGGACGCTGACCCTCCCCCCATCCCAAACCCTTCCCCAGCCTGGTGAAATGAGCGAGTGAGGGGTGGGGCCTATGGGTGGGGGGCAAGGGTGCCCATGGGCTGGGAGTGCGTTGGGGGTAAGTAGAGCTGTCATGGGCTGGGGATGCACCAAGGGGGTAAGGAGCTGGGCTGTCGTGGACCCAGGGGTGTGTCGGGCACACAAGGAGCAGGACTTTCATGGGCGAGGGGGATGTCGGGGGCAGATGGGGAGCCAGACATTGCAGGGAGCTGGGAGAGCTTATTAACCCAACTCTGTCCCTCCCCCAGCTCTCAGGGGGCCTGCGCTTCACCGTCCCCCACCTTCGTGACAACAAGCAGAACATCCAGTTTGAGTTCCAGATCCAGAGGTAACGCCAGGCCCCCCCACACATGCTCTGGGACCCGCCCCAACCAGTGGGGATGGGGTCAGGGCTCCGGATTCCCCCCTCCTTCTCTGAGGAGCCCTGCAGGGGAGCGGCCGGGCTGTGCGAGGAGCCGTGCAGGGGAGTGGGGAGCCGTGCAGAGCCCCGGCCATGCGAGGAGACATGCAGGGGAGCAGGGAGCTGTGCAGAGCCCGGGCTGTGCAGGAGAGCGGGGAGCTGTGCAGAGCCTAGGCCTTGTGAGGAGCTGTGCAGGGGAGCGGGGAGCCGTGCAGAGCCCGGGCCGTGCGAGGAGCCGTGCAGGGGAGCAGGGAGCCGTGCAGAGCCCAGGCCGTGCAGGGGAGCGGGGAGCCGTGCAGAGCCCGGGCCGTGCAGGGGAGGGGGCCGCCCCGTGATGCTCTCTGCTCTCTCCCCAGCAAGAACCAGAACAACTCCCGCAGCGAGGTGGTGGCGTTCTCACTGCGTGTCGAGGCCGCTGCCAGGGTCTCCTCCCACGGGTGAGTGTGCCCAGCCCCAGCCTCCCTGTTGGCCCTGCAGAGCCTGAGCCCTGAGCAAGGGGCCAGGCCTTGTGTGGGAGAGCCAGCCTCAGTCCAGGTCCTGTGGCCCCCTCCTTTGCAGCCCCCTGGACCCCCTCCCCAGTCACTAATCGCATCCCGCCCAGCCCAGCAGGGAAGCTGTGGCCCAGCGGTGGCTGCTCCCAGCCCCTGCCTCACGTGAGTTTGGCAGCTCAGCCCAGCTGATCCCAGGGCCAGCAGCCAGTGCCCATCCCTGCCTGCCCCACAGGGTCTCCAAGCCCGAGTCTGTGTCCTTCCCCATCTCGGGCTGGAAGCCTGGCAGGAAGCCAGTGAAGGAGCAGGACGTGGGCCCCGAGGTGCAGCACGTGTATGAGGTGAGTGTCACACGGAGCACGGTTCCCCCAGACATCTGGCCTGCCAGCCGTGCTGCTGGGAGATACCAAAGGGTCCTGGGGCCAGGATAGGATGAGGAGGGGGGCATGTGTGGGGCCAGCCTGGGAGCAGAGGGGCTGCCTGCAGGGCTAGTCTGACTGGGAGGCCCTGGAGGCCCATCCTGAGGGGGGTGCAGGGGTGGGGTACTCCGTCCAGGCCAGCTGGAATGTAGGGTTGGAAGGGACCTGCCACATAGGAGCTCTCCGGCCTGCCAGGCCATTGCACAGCCAGAGTTCCCTGGGAGCCCAGTGCCGGCACAGACCCTCCCTCTCCCTGCTTGCAGCTGGTGAATGAGGGTCCCAGCGCCATCAGCCACGGTGTCCTGGAGCTGAGCTGCCCCATGAGTTTCCAGGGGAAACCAGTGATGTACGTGACCCGTTACTCGGTGCCGGCCAATTGCTCCAGCCAGCCCGTCAACCCGCTCAAGCTGCAGGTAAGTGGGACGAAATCGTCACACTCCAAAAATCCCAGCACGTTCCAGCCAAGAGACCCATCACTTACCCCAACGCAGCTGGTGCCCTCCGTCCCACACCCTCGTAGTCCTAAGATCTAGTCCAAGTGTCTCTGAATCCCCCTGGGGATTTCTGGCCTCAGGGAAGAGCCTCTCACCCTTCCAAGTCCAAACGGCCACAAAGATGCCGTGGCGTCTTGTCGGGGATTTTTATTCCCTTCCCCCAAGGTTCAAGATGAGAGAATGAGTCCACATGCATGGCTCCTCTTCCCTGGGACAAGGGGAGTGATCAGCAAAGCCCGTTGCCCGTTCGTGTTCCCCATGGCTTTGTCTGGTGTCTGTAGGCCGTTTCAAAGCAGCCCCCGGACTCTTGCCTTGCGCTGGGACACCGAGGTTTCCAGCAGGAGGAATACCTTACTCCTGAGGCAGTTCGGCACCAAAAAATGAACAGTTCTGTGCACAGGATTTTAAAATTCTGCACTTTTTATTTGTCAAAATAGCACAGTGTATACAATAGTATAATACAATAGTAGAAACACACCAGTTTCCCTTACTTTGCTAATTTCTTCCAAAATACTTGTCAGCATGTATGTCTGTAACAACACAGACAATAGCAACCATTTCTGGAGTGTCTTCCGACACATGGATGCCTTAGTAGGCAGAGTAGTCTAGGATTGAGTAATTGTTCATTTAAACTACAATACAGAAATGTATCTCCTGCCTCTCCCCCTCCCAGCCCCCCAGAAGCAGGGGCAGGGGTGGGGGAGTCGTGGTAACCGCGCAGCTGAGGGAGAGGGAAGGCTGCTGAGAGTGGGGGGAGAAATATGAAACCGGGTTTTCTGTGGGGAGGGGAAAATCATTAGGGAGCCTTCCCCATGCAGACACTGGCTGATTCCCTCCCCCCATGTCTCCAGACACCCTGTCCCCTTATGCCCCTGTGCTCACACTCAGTCACCCCTACTCCCATTCAGCCCCCACCTCAATTCCCCCCTCCCATTGGCTCCTCAGACCCCAGTCTGTGAGCCTCACCCAGCAGCCCCATGCACCACACACTGTCCACCCGTCCACACCCCAGCCCATTCCTCCTGACTGGCCCCGCAGGCAGGGAGCTGTGAGGAGTGTAGCCTTTTCACTTCCTGTCTCCTGCCCAGGAGTAGCTGCTCTGTATTTTCTGCTGAGGGGAAAAAAAATCTGCACAGCACATGAATTCTGCGCATGCGCATTGGCGCAGAACTCCGCTAGCAGTAACGCATGCAGCAGCATGAAGCATTTCCTAGAGTCTGAGCACTACGTACATTCTTATAAGACTCATATCTGTTTTGAGCCAAACAAACTGCCTGGTCTGTTCGCCAGCTGCGAGGCCATCAGTTCTTAGTGCCAGCAGCTGGGCAAGATCTGGCATTCTGCCTACCAGGGTCAAGCTAGATGCAGGTCAGGGGTTCACAGGGCAGATCAGAGGTGGGATCTAGGTAGGGCTTCACAGGCCTGGCTCCCCCCCTCCATCCCTCACTTGCTCAGGGCATTTGGGGGCCATGCAAAGGTAACTCTCTCCTTGGAATGTGCTTACAGCTGGAGCAGAGTCCCACAGCCTCTCCTGGCCTAGAGCAGCATTACCTGCAGAGACGGGACACAGCGCGGAGCAGCGGGGCCTCCAGGAGCCACCATACCCTGGTCAGTGCTGTGAACTCTGCACACCGCAGGCCGGGGTTACTGTGCCTGGGGTGCTCTGTGACTGCTGGGGGCACAGGACACAAGAGTCTGGCCTGGCCCTGGAGTGGAGAGTCCTCAATCCACACCCACTCCCCAGGGCCTGGCCCGCACAGGCAGAGAGGTACCTGTGTGCTGGAGTGTCTGGGGCCCCCACCCCCTGCCACTGCACCTGGATTCAGCTCCTCCTCCCATGCCCCACTCAGCACCGCCATGCGCTGCCATGCCCTGCACCAGAGGTGGCTGCATTCGAGTCCCATCAGGCATGGAGCCACGGCTACGAGCCTCCTTTTCCATGCAAAGCCCAGTGCCAGCGCTGGTCACTCGGCCTTTCCGAATGCTGAGGCTAACTCCAGCCATCGGGCTGGACCAGCTCCGCCGAGCCCTGTTCCTGGCCAGTGGCCACCGGTGTCCAAGATCTAATGCTGGAGACGCTGGCCCCCGCCCTGCTGTGTCACTGAGCCTCTGTCCAACCGCCTCTCCCCGCAGAAGTGCCCCGAGGCCGAGTGCTTCCAGCTGAGCTGCCAGGTGGGGGCGCTGCAGAGGCAGCAGCGGGTCAGCCTGAGGCTCTACTTCCGGATGTGGGCCAAGACCTTCCAGCAGGTGAGTGGTGCCCTGCCCCACCCCCACGTCTCCCAGCTCCCTGCCCCTCGGGAGGCCCCGTACACGCTGCCCGCAGGGGCCTAGATGGGGGCTTCAGCTTTCCTGTGAGCAGGGGCCTCCTGAGTCCCTGTCCCCCTGGCTGCCAGACCTTCTCTGAGGGTATGTCTACACTACCCCGCTAGTTCGAACTAGGGGGGTAATGTATGCATACCGCACTTGCTAATGAAGCCCGGGATTTGAATTTCCCTCGGGAGGCCCCGTACACGCTGCCCGCAGGGGCCTAGATGGGGGCTTCAGCTTTCCTGTGAGCAGGGGCCTCCTGAGTCCCTGTCCCCCTGGCTGCCAGACCTTCTCTGAGGGTATGTCTACACTACCCCGCTAGTTCGAACTAGGGGGGTAATGTATGCATACCGCACTTGCTAATGAAGCCCGGGATTTGAATTTCCCGGGCTTCATTAGCATAAAGCCGGCGCCG